GTGGTCCCCCCCCCCCCCCCCCGACCCAACATGAGTTTTAAGCTACTGGTACTGGGACTTGAACTGCAGTCGACTATGTGGGAGTCCAGTGACATAACCATTACACCATCTGCTGGTCCCAATAGATAAGAATTTTTATCTCCAGTCTACCTATCACCCTCCTTGAAAGTTTCTTTTCTTTTTTCCTTTTTCTTTTTCTTTTTTCTTTTTATCTTTTGTTTTGGCCTGAGAACTTAGGCTCTTTCATATTTAGTTGATACTGGGAATGATCAACCTTTGAGTCACACGCCCCCCCCCCAGTACAGGCATGCGTATGCTTTTACACACACACGTCAGTGTAACATGTAACCTCCACAAGAAATGACATAAATGTAACACTCATCCTAGAGCCATAATGAGGATGGTAGGAATGTGTTCTTGTACAGCTACAGTCTGTGACAGAGGATCAACTGATCCTACAGGGTCAGCCAAAGTACAGGTCCAGTGGCCCTTACATGAAAGCTCGGGACCAGAGCATTGCAGATTTTGGATTTTTTTCAGATTTTGTAATATTTGTATATACATAATGAAATATTTGAGAGTGAGACCCAAGTCTAAATTAATTATGTTTCATATATATAAGGTATAGAAGATAATTTTACACAGACTTTTATATTGTCAAATGTGTGACTTATCACATGAGATCAGGTGTGGATTTTTCCACTTCTGGCATTATACTGATGCTCAGAAACTTTTGGATTTAGAGCATTTCAGATTGTGGATTTTTTAGATTTAGCAATACTCAACTCAAATACTGACATTTTTGTATACTTCATAGTTTTGTTTTGTTTTTTTTAATTTTTGCTATAGGGTGTGTGCACTTACTGGAGAGAGAGAGAAAACACTCCCTAGAGTGGATGGCCACACCGCAGTCTCTTCTCTTCCATTTTCCTCTTGGAAATTTGTGGATGTACACACACATGCTTGGCATGTTTTTCAAGCTATCAGGTTCAGAATTTGAACTGTGCAGTCAGCCATGTGGGATCCAGTATCTTAACCACCTTGTCACCTGCTGGCCCTAGTTGTTGGTTTTTATTTATTTTACTTTTAGAATTATTTATTTCATTTCATTTTTTATTATTAAAATATGAAGAGAGGCAGAGAGAGAAAGGGAGAGTAAGAAAGCAAGTTGCCAGGTTTGGAACTTGAACTGTGGTCAGCCATGTAGGAGTCCAGCACATTAGCCACCATGCCGCCTGCCACCCCATTGTTTTATTTTTTTAAGACAATGTCTCACTCTGTTGTGATCTTCCTGCCTCTGCTAACCAACTGCAACTACAGCTGTATGCACTATGTCCAGCTTTTTTATAGACAGAATCTCACTATATTGCCCAGGCAAGCCTCAAGCTCAAGATCACCCTGCCTCAGTCTCCTGAGTCACCGGGACTAGAGGTACATGCCCACACCTAGCCTTTAGTTTAGACCAGGAACAGAACATGGGCCTTCCATGTGGTCCCAGCCTGACTTATTAGCATGAGCCACTGTGGCTGGGTCTGAAAATCCACTTTTATTATCCATTCTCTCATTTTATTTTTATAATACTGTGTGATATAAGTAGAATTATCATTTTGTAGACCAGAAAATAAATTCAAAGTGATAAGTGACCTACCCGATCTAAATATTGAATCCAGATCTGGTGCTCCTGTCATATTTCTCCTAACACATTTAAAAATCTGTATCAGGAGACCAGCACATGGCATAATGGTTATGTCGCTGGACTCCTACTTAGTTGACTGCAGTTCCAATCCCAGACGCAGTGACTGAGTACTTGTGCATGGGATTGCAGTGTGGCCATCCCCCTGGGAGGTGATTTTTCATTTTCCATTCTCTCTGGCAAGTGCATGCACCCTATAGCAAAAATCTCTCTCAAAAAAAATCTGTATTGGGCCAGCAGGTGGCATGGAGGTTAAGGCACCGAATGGCTGATTACATGGTTTGAGTCCCAGACCAGGCAGCTTGAAAATCATACCAGGCACATGAGTGTGTGTACTCAAAATCCTGAGAGGAGACTGGAGGAAAAGGGATTGTGTTATGGCCATTCCCTCTGAGGTGATTTCTCACTTTCTCTCTCTTTCATTCTCTGGAGACCATACACTATACCCCCATCATATATTAATGACTTACTTCATGTTTTCTTCCCCAACTTTTTTTTACAGTTGTACAGGGGATGAAGGAAGCTCAGGAAAGGCTGACGGGTGATGCCTTCCGAGAGAAACGTCTGGAAGATGAGTTGTAACATGAATGTATCCCTTCTTTGATCAAAGTTAGTATTCTGGAAGGAAAGCTGCAGTGGAGGGAATATTTGAGGAATCACCAGGACAATTAAACCAACCAGGAAACTTTGTTCTACCTTCGCTGGAAGGATCCCTCACTGTGGAAGATTTCTGCTAACAGAAGCTGGTCTCCATGTTTGGGCATCCAGCAAAGTGTGGCAGACTTCCTTCTCCTTCTCCCTCTCACCTACAGGTTGACTTGTCTTTAAAGTCAGGAGTGAAACCTTTGATAAGAAACTTGAGCCATTTGGAGGTTTACTCCTCAAACTTAAGTATTTGAGTCTTTTCTCATTTCCTCCCACTTACTCACCTTGGTGATAAAAGGAAACCATTAACACCTTTTATACAATGTTAAAATTGCAGAAATGGCTTATAAATCTAAAAAAAAAAAAAAAAACCTAAAAAACCTAAATATCAATCAGTAATTCTACCCCCTATGGAGGAGACCAGTCTGTTTTTGCTCCTGGGAATAATCTTGAGCTTCTTCCCGAATCCCTGCAGCTTCCTGCCTCTACTCCTGCTTGGACTTCTGTTTGCACAAGCACGTGTGCAGGACTGGCTGTGTCTTTGGACTCAGCCCCAGCTGGAAGCATGCTTTTTCTTGTTACTGTTGGAGAAACTCAAGCCTTCAAGCCCTAGGTGGAGCCATTTTTGTCAAGTCATCAACTGTATTTTTGTACTGGGGTCAACAAAGATAAAATATTAATTATTCCATTAAACTTTAATAAAACTTTAGAAGGAACTGTGTGTGATGGCCTTTTTGTTATTAGAGAATGGAAGATCACTTCAATAAGAAACTAACCTTGAGGGCCTAATCTAGGAGCCCTGACCTAAGACTTTTCCTCTTTCCCCTCCCACATTCAAATGAGCACTAGGGCTCATCTCTTTTACGTTTATCTTGCACATGAGAGAGAACATGTGTGAAAGGTCTCCCCGTTGTGATTTTCTGCCCCAGTCTCCCAATTAGCTGGGATCAAAGTCTTGCATCACTGCACCATACATGTTAATGTTGGGCTGGAATCCAAACCAGGGCCTATCATGCTACCCCAGCCTTGCATCTGACATGTGAAACAACATGGATGAACCTTGAAGATACATTAAGTGAAATAAGTCAGATGTAAAAGAATAGTCTATGATACCACTTATATGAGGTGCCTCAAATAGTCAAATTCATAGAGATAATATAGAATGGTGGTTGTTAGGAGCTAGGGGAGGACCAACAGGGAATTAGCTTTTTTTTTTTTTTTAAGAATTATTGGGACCAGCAGTTAGTGTAATGGCTATGTCGCTAGACTCCTACGTAGTCAGTTCACATCCCAGACCCGGTGGCTTAAACTCATGCCGGGCGCCTGTGCGTGCGCATCCAAGATCCTGAGAGGAGAATGGAGAGAAGATTATGGCGTGGCCATCCCCAGGGATGTCTCTTTGTCTCTCTCTGTCCGTCTGGTGAGCGCATGCACCCTATAGCAAAAACCTCGCAAAAAAAAAAAGAAAAAAAAAATTAATTAATTAATTTTAATTTGACCAGAGAAAGAGAGAGAGGGAAAGTGAGAAAACAAGCCACCAGGTCTGGGACTCGAACCATGGTCAGTATACTCTAAAAAAAAAAAAAAAAAAGAATTATTTAATTTGGGGGCAGGCGGGTGGTGTGATGGTTGAGGGCACTGTACTCCCACATGGCTGACTGCAGTTTGGGTCCCAGACCTGGTGGTTTGCTTTCTCACTTTCTCTGTCCCTCTCTGGTCAAATAAAATAAAATAATTATTTTATTTCAATTTATTTATTTGTGTATTTATTTTTATTTGACCAGAGAGATGGCAGGAGAGAGGTTGAGAAAACAAGCTGCCAGGACCGGGACTTGAGCCGTGGTTGGCCTTGTGGGAGTCCAGCACCCCCATCCACCACACCACATGCTGGCCCCAAAATAATTCTTTTTTTAGAAAAAAAATTATTAAATTTTATTTTTTTATTATTATTTAATTTACTATAGGGCACATGCACTCACCAGAGAGAGAAAGCAACCCACCAGGTCTAAAACTTGAATTGTGGTTGGCCCTGTGCGAGTCCACTGCCCTAATCACCGCGCTACCTGCTGACTATGGGAGTTAGTATTTAATGAGTACAGGTTTTCCATTTGGGAAGATGAAAAAGTTATAGACCTTCCTGCAGTGTCTGCTCTACCTGCTGTGGCTGTCTCAGGAGAAGAATGGCTTTAAAACAGATTTCCATCAAGTGCTTTGACTGATTCCAGAAAGTTTTTGAACATGACTGTTGAACTGAAGTGCAAAATGAAATTTGCTATCTACTTAACCACCAAAGGCAGAAACTGGGAAGTGCCCTGCACTGTACTGGCTGTCTGGTTTAACTTGCACAGAACAAAATTTTATGTCAAAATCTGGTTATCCTCAAGCAGCCTCAGAACATGGTCTTACCGTCATTGCTCCAGGTATCGTCATTGCTCCCTCGTGGCTGTAATATTAAAGCAGAAGATGACAGCTGCAACTTTGGCACTAGTGCTGGTTTTCATGTGGATGCCACTGAAGATCTTTGGGAAACTAACACTAGGATGTACTCTTATGTAACAGAGGAGCTTCCCCAACTTATAAATGCCAATTTTCCAGTGGACCCCCAAAGGATGTCTATTTTTGGCCACTCCATGGGAGGCCATGGAGCTCTGATTTGTGCCTTGAAAAATCCTGGAAAATATAAATCTGTGTCAACATTTGCTCCAATTTGCAACCCAGTGCTCTGTCCTTGGGGCAAAAATGCTTTTAGTGGATACTTGGGAACAGATCAAAGTAAATGGGAGGCTTATAATGCTACCCATCTTGTGAGGTCCTATCCAGGTTCTCAGCTGGACAAATTCATTGATCAAGGAAAAGACCAGTTTGCTTCAGATGGACAGTAACTTCCTGACGTCATAGCTGCCTGCACTGAAAAGGAAAGCCCCGCTGTTTTTAGATTACAAGAGGGTTATGGTCATAGCTACTACTTCATTGCAACCTTTATTACTGATCACATCAGACATCATGCAAAATACCTGAATGCATAGAACTTCAGATAAGAGAATCTCTTCAGGAGTATACAAACTATAATAAACAAAATTGCTGAGAAAAAAAAAGTTATGGAGATGGATGGTAGTACTGGTTGCAAAACATAGTAACTTTTTTTTTTTTAATATCCATAGTAACTATTTCTTAATTTGACAGAGGTTACATGCACAAGACAGAGGGAGAGGGAGAAAGAATACCCCACAGAGCATGGTCTTGATGCAATCCCTTCTCCATTTCTCCCTCCTTTATGGATTTCTGGGCAGGCACGCAAATGCACCTGGCATATTAAAGCCACTGTCAGGAACTCAAACTCAATGGCCAGCCATGTGATCCAACTCCTTCGATCATCATGCCACAGGCTGTGACTGTTTTGTTAACATTTTCTCAAACTCTTCAAAAAAAAAAAAAAAGAAAAAAAAAATAATTTCCCAGGAATTATCAAAATAGTTATATTACTATTCACCTTTTCTCACTTTCCAGAAAAGAAAGACATAGCTCTCATGCACCCTGAAGTTTAATATGGTGCATTACCCTGTAAAAACTTCTGGGGCACCAAACAAAGGGACACTGAAGTAGTACAGACTTTCATGATTAGAGGGGTTTTTCTGTGTGTTGCACATAGTTCTGTCCTGAGTATAGTTCTGTGAAAAGCAAAACTTGACATTAGAATTGGGGCCATTTGTACTATGTGGGGATATTCTGAATTCAGACATAGGAGAAGAAGTGATGAAAATTGGCTTTTTCCAATCCTTAACTATTATTAAAACGAATGCATCTCTAGAGACATTGTATGTCTCTACTGAATACTGTCCACACTCTATGGCTAAAACTGAAAGATTAGAGGATCTAAAAACACGGAAAATGCTTATGTATACTGGATACAGTGTGAGAAGAAAGCGGGAGAAGGAGGAGAGTCTGAGGAAAGACATCAAGGAGAAAAACAGAGAGGCAAGACATTTATGGGACACAGAAATGGATTAATCTCGGGACCAGCAGATGGTGTAATAGTTACATCTCTGGACTCCCACGTAGATGAACTGGGTTAGAATCCCAGGCCCAGCAACTTAAAAAAACCTTAAGGCAGTCACGTGTGCGTGCGTGCCCAAGATACTGAGAGGAGAATGGAGAAGAGATTGTGGCATGACTGTCCCCCCTGAGGGGTGATTTCTTGCTTTCTGTCTCTCTGTGTCTCTGTGTCTTCCAGTGAGCACACGGGCCCTAAAACAAAAACCTCTCTCAAAAAAAAAAAAAAAAAAAAAAAAAAAAAAAAAAA